TTCAAGCGGACGATTTCTGTTTCCTTCTGTGCTTTTTCTTGTTGTAAAGTTGAATTACTGCTTTGTAATGCTTTTATTTCACTGCTTAGGCTATTAATTTTCTCTTTTGCTTCTCTTGCTGCGTTTTCGTGGTCGGCAGCAGCAATTTTTATCGCTTGCAAATTATTATTCTCCTCTTGTAAACTACCACAAATACTTCTAAGACTAATCAATTCGTTTTCTTTTTCCTGTAAACTTGAATATATTCTTCTGCAGTTATCTTCTCCGCAATAAGGCTTATGCAAAACCTCTTCCAACACACCGTCAAGGTCGTCATCACTCTCAAATTCTCCCTCCGAAGATTCCGTTTCCATTAATTTCGTGCTTTTTCCTTTAGCAACTGTGGTTGAACTTTCGGCTTGCAGACTTTCTCGGGTTTGCTCTCCTGGGAAACGGAATCTTCGGAAACGCAAAACTTCCTCCTGATTTTTTATTTCGGCTTCTTTTTCTTCGCCGACAATAGCAGTGCCAGTATCATCTTTGAACTTTTTTTGTCACCACTCGGCTTCTTGCTCCACCAAATTTTCCACAGAAGGAATTCCTGTCTCTAGCAAATCCGAACTTTCGATTAATTTTTTAATATAATAAAGAACATAAAAACCGCAACTTTGCGAACCTGGGGGCTGTGTAGGACGTTCGTTTATATCTTCAAAATTAACGGTCTTGTTTCCCCCTGCTTCTAATTTATTTTGAAAGTGTTCTAAAAAAGGTTTGATAATTCTTTCTCCTCCTACTTTTGGGTTGTTGTGAAGTTTTTTAGTCGAACTGTCAAGGTGGAAAAATTTCTGGTTTTGGTGGTGATAAACTAGTAAACTTCAATGACCTCTGCCTGCAGCTTGTAATTTCTCAATTTGGCTTCTTTTTTGGTTTCTGCAATTCGAGCAAATGCTACAATTTTGGCAAAGTTGCTTTTTTAATTCACTATTTATAAATTTTTCATTTTGTTCTGGATCTTCGCTTCCCTGGATGTTTTCACCATTAACTATTATGAAAGTTAATTTTTCGGTTTTGTCTTTTAATGCTGCTAATATTCTTGCTTCGTAATTTGGTTCTTGGTAAAGTTTAAAAT